CAGATGGGCAGAGCGAGCCATGACGTCACGGCTCGCTCCGCCCATTTGACATTCTCAGCTGTCAAATGCTACATATTGCATTCATATATATCAAATGCTTCTATGCTTAAAGTACAGAGGCTATAGAGTAGCGGTTAGAGTACCGCTGGTTCAAATCCAGGCCAGGTCAAGTAATATTTAAAGTTTTTTGTTTTTTTTCATAAACGAATTTCGACCGAAACTAATTTAATTTCGCACCCGAAAAACGAAACTAAACAAATTTTTTTATGGTTAGTTTCAAAACGAAACTAAACTTAACAAATGCTGGTGCACATGTCTACCAATTTGTATGAAAAATATAAAAGATGAGGTTATGCTGAGTAAATAGAGCGGCTCCAGAAGGGGGGGGAGAGGCTGCAGATGTCGGCGGTTGGCAGGGAGGGTGCCCAGATTTTTTGTTAATAGCTCTCATCAGCGTTTTTTTAGCCTCTGATGCCGGCTATTACTTTACAGGGGACCGTCGGGGGAACTGTTCTGGTATAAGTTCATGGTTGCTAAAGCGACCATCAGCTTATAGCAGAACAGTAAAAGCTACATAATGCTTACTAACGTGGCCAGCTGGAAACAGTCGTGTTCCGCCGTAAGCCTTATGTCGGTAGCAGGGTTAAAAGCCTGTACAAGTCATCAGTTTAGAGTTAAATATGAATATTGACTCTAGAATTATTGCTCTCACTCTGGCACCTGTAGCGATCGGCCACATGGGAATGACTGCGTTCCGGTCCGGTCAGAAAAAATAGTGCTTGCAGCATTTTTTCTGACCGGATTGCAGGCATTGATATGCCTTGCGTTCCCGTGTTGCCGATCGCATTGTGGCCAGAGGGCGTGGATACAGTGCCATTGAGTCCAATGCACCACCACGCCCCCTCACAACTAAGTGAGCCGGCCGCAATGCGATCTAGTGCGTTCCAGCCAGAATCGGGCCGGAACGCACTGTGGCTGGTGTGAACTAGACCTTATCATTAAAATCAGTCCTTGAACCAAGCGCTGAAATCATTAGCTGCAGACAGGAGGAAGCATTTTCTTAGTCTCTTCTCCACAAGTCTGCCACAATGTAACTTTGTAGACAGTTACAAGTTAAGAGGCTGTAGCAGGTGGCTGATCTGTGTCAGCTATGTGTGAACAGGCATCAGAATTGTTTCATAATTGTCTCGTCTCTGAGCAAGCATCCCTGGCCAGAAAAGGGATGTGACCTGGATGATGCATGTCCAAAGATGTTGTTCTGATGGGAAAAGCAGATGAAGAGAAGTGATCTCTGTGGAGGGAGAGGTACTAAATACCTGTAAGTTTTGCATGTACGCATTATGTAGCATGCATTCACTTAAAGTGACACTAAACTCAGAAGATAAATCTTAAAAATGCATTCATGTACCCTAATTATTAACAAAAATGTATCTTATTTGTGTATCACTCGGCTGTAGATTCTCAAATCATCTCTGAAGTCATGCTGACACTGTTCTTCCTTCTAGAGGGTGGCTACTTTTATTCCCCATGGTCCCTGTGTGTGTTGTAAAGTAGACAACGCTCCAAGCTCACTCCTGGGATGGACTACAATCTCAATACAAATGAGTGAACTAAACATGAGATTGTAGTACATCACAGGAGTGAGCTTAGAGCGTTGTCTACTTTACAACACACACAGTGACCATGGAGAACAAAAGTAGCCACCCTCCAGAAGGAAGGACAGTGTCAGCACTAATGAAGATTTAACCCCTAAGTTTAGTGTCACTTTAACATAAAATCTATATCTGATACTAGGTCCAATTTAACAAGTTGTGACATACCAATTAAATTAGTACCACATTCCCTACTGCTAGAAAAGGTCTTAAATCAACCCAGTGCTTTTCAGATCCCTTCAGAGAGAACAATGTATTCTTTGTTGCTTTAGTGTTAACAACAATGCACTTTTGTAACTAGCGGTACAAAATCATTAAGAGAGCTTGAGGCCATTAATTAAATAAATCCACAGTATGTGCAGATATGGTATAATCAGCTTTAAATATCTTGGTATGTTAAGCGTGGGCACTCTGTTTAATGTTCTGTTTTCTAAGGTGTTAATTCCTTATTAAATTTAGACTTTCTTTTTCCTGTGCAAATGACTTGTACAGTAACATTGAGTATCATACAGTCTGTATGGTGCTAAAATATAAGAATATATGTGCTACGGACTTCTGAACTTTTTAGACATTTCAGCCTTAGTCATATATATTATATACATTCAAGTATATAATATTAGTATTCAATATATTCATTCTTTTTTTATTTCACATCTTATTTAAATGTTATCTGCATGTATATGCTTACCAAGCTGTCAAGTGAAAGTGGCAAGCATTGAGACAAGCTATAACACCTAGGGATGCTGATTAAATAGGGGGAGGGGGGGATTAACCCATTTGTTGCCGGGGCCGTTTTTGCACAAATGTTAAAATGCACATTTTTGGCCTATTGCTTAAAGCAGTGGGAGATTCCTCCATCAACACTTGTAAGTGTTGATGGAGGAATCTGTGATATTTTCTTTGTCCAGCCTGCAAATTGAACTAAGAAAATATTACAGTGTATGACCACCTTTTTAACCATGAATAATGGCTCTAGAATTATTGCCTTCACTCATCTGTGACCGTACCCAACATGTATGGTGCAATTGTTACAGCCAAATGTTAGCATGAGCAGCTGGATGTAAACAGCAGGCAGTACCCTGAGATCGGTCGATTCCCTGTTTTTGTTTTGTATTCTGACAGGTGCTGTCAGAATACAAATTTAAAAAAAACATCAGATAGCAGGGGAAGCATTAGCTCTCCTGCTATCTGCCAATTCCCCTGCTATCTGTTTGTTTTGTATTTTAGTATGACAGCGGGGCCGCTGGCTGCTGCCAGAGTAAAGAAGAAAAAAAAAGCAGCAGATAGCATGGGAATGAATAGCTAGGCTGCTATTGGCCATTTCAAAGTGCAATAGCATGCTGGCTATTGCACCTGCCCACTGCTGCTGTCAATCTGCAGAGGAAAAAAAGGACAGACTGCCATAAATTGAGATAGACACATGGCCCAACAACTCTCTCCACCTGTCATGCTCATGCAACAGTTTTAATGCTTTTTAAGGCACTGACCTCAAAACAAGAATGCAAGTCAGGGATTCTGACTTCTCTCTGTGTTATACAAATTACATTACACAGTTGCATATCCTGTTTCACAATCCTCAATGGTTTCTGTGGCTTTGTGGATAAGACCTTTTCCTGTGTGCTAAAAATGTCCTCTTTCCGTCTTTATCAGCATGACAGTCCTTTACAACAGCTGTAGACAGAACAGAAGCTGTTTTCCCACCAAGCATATGCCTATAATGAAAGAGAATGGAGAAGAGGGGAGAATAGAAGGGGCTTCAGTGGCCATTCCTGGTTGTATGCTGCATGTAAGCAAACTTACTGTCACCTACTGAAATGGCTTTATGCGCATACATAAAACATAGGCAGCTATTGTCATATGTAATTTGTTTATTACAAATAAACAATAAGTTCAAGCTTACCTTTTAAACAGGAACTGCGGAGCTGTTAATGAAACGTGTATAATGTCTGGTTTATGGCAGTTGTACAAGGTTAATTAACCTATCTCTTATTGCTTTGTCTATTCTTCACAGACACCAAGGACATATTGTGCTGCAAACACTGAGGATTTAGAGACAGTTATTCAACATGTGCACACAATGTACCCGGATTCTCCAATGATGGCAGCTGGTGTTTCCATGGGAGGGTAAGAGTTTTATAAATTCTGTTAGCAAGAAATCAAAGCAGAATACTTTAACCTCTTGCCGTCCGCCCGTAGTAAAAAAACGGACGGACGGCACTGCAGCATCTGCGGGTTGCCGTCTCCAGACGGCAATTTTTTTCTGCTCGCGCGCGCCCCCTAGCGGGCACGCACGGGCAGAAAAGACCCGCCCAATGCGCACACCCGTTACCGGGTGTTTCACATATAGGCGATCAGCGGGTCCATAGCCCGCCGATCGCCTATATGTGCTCGTTCGCGGCACCCCCCCCCCCACGCCCGGTCGGCGCTTCCGGTTTTTTTTCCCTCCCCCCCTGACCCCTCACCTTGATTCCCGGGATCCGCTGCCCCATCTTGGATCCCGGGACCGGCTCCGAGGGCGTCAGGAGGAGGAGGACGGGAGATCAGCTCCTTGCTGATCCCCGTCCGGGCTGTGAATGCAGAAGTGATGTGTGTTACATCACTTCCGCATTCACCTGTCAGTCATCTGGAGAGAGAAGAAGCTGATAAAGCAGATCTCTGCTTTATCAGCTTCTTTTGGGGTCCATAGGTGATATTAGGGGTCCTAGAGACCCCTAATATCTCCATAAAGAGGACCTGTCAGTGTGCCTTTGCTATTATATAGGGGGTTGTTATCCCCCTATATAATAGCAATAACAATAAGTGCAAAAAAAAAAATATAAATAAAAAAAAAGAAAAGTAACACATAAAAAAATAAAATAAAATAAAAGCCACATATAAAAAAAGGGGAAAAAACCCCCCCAAAATGTTTAACTCCCCCACCCCCACGTTTACGCGCCTATAAACGTAAATACGCGTCCGGTGCCCCAGCGCGCAAAAATTACAATTGCGCTACACATGTTACATATCGCCGCGAACGTCGCAGTGAGAGCAATCATTTTAGGGCCATCAATCACTGATAACACTAAACTGATGAGCCCTCCAGCTGTGGTGCAACTACAATGCCATTGCAAGATTCTGACAACCAGAGGCATGACTCTCAGAGACAGATTGCTAAGATTTGTAGTTTCACCACAGCTGGAGGGCCAGAGAAAGCTTACCCCTGTTGTAAATGTTCAGAGGCATCTCATCTATTGTACAATAATATATTTACATACAATACATATTCAATATGGTATAAGCACAAATCAGGATATGTAGCCACCTATCCAATTGTTCCAGTCCCTAAGATAGACTTATTTAGTTAAAAAACCCATTTCAAAAAGTACAACCATCCTGGAAAATGGAATCTCTCTTAAAAACAAGAACCTGTGAAATCCCTGGGATATGGGCTTTTTTTTTTACAATTTCTGTATTTATTTAGCACAAATTTCAGCACACCAAAGGGAAAGAATACAAAACATAGTGATAAATGGGACCATCGTGAGTAGGAGCAAATAACGTAGGGAAAAGGACCTGTGCATTCCAAAGGTCAACACAGGAGCACATATATAAATACATAGTTCGGAAAGATTGAATGGAGCCAGTTGGCATTGCAGACAGAATATATCTGGGGATATGGGCATTTTTAAGTACATCCTCTATTCTTAAATGAGTTATTGTTCCATTGCATTTACAGTTCAGGGCTTACATATTTGAGGTTCCTAGATAGAATAAAAAATAACTGTTGAGCCACATGAAGGAGCCTTTAACTTGGACTAGAACTTGCCCTTGAGAATTTCTACTTTAATAGTATACTAGCTTCTTTCAGGAAGTCTCTGTGCTGTATACTCCATTATGAAATGATGATTCCCTTAGCAAGCTCAATTCCTCGTGCTCAATATTATATGTACTCACAGTGCAAATTAATATATTCACATATAATTATAAGAACGATTAGGAGTGTGCATGGGAACATAGCTGATAGAATTTAGCCAGATCAGTACAGCCTCTGCCAGAATCAGGCACCATATATTTAGGAGTAGGGACACTGTTAAACCGAATGTCGTATGTATATATATATATATATATATATATATATTGAAAATGATTCCTTAAAGCTAAACTCTGGGCACAGAGATTTTCATTTAAATATATTCTTTTATAACCACAAAGGATGTAAATCTATTTTGCAAGCTCAGCTATTACCTTGTATAACAGTGACATCATCACTCTGCTGCAGCCTGACCAGAGCTGTGGGAGGGACCCAGCAGGCCTCTCCCACAACAGGCTGCCTGTCGAAAACTACAGGAGGGAGACCAGACCAGTCACCCTGCATAAGGAGAGAGAGCAGCAGTGACCAGTCTTTATTAAAGGAAGCCCTTGCACAGGGGCAATGTTTTACACAGTATTACTGCACAAATCTGGAAGAAATACACAAAGCATACGAAGAAAATATGTAATGTTTTGTGGGATTTTTAAGTAAGGTGTAAAAATGAAAAAGAAAGAGTGTTCTGACAGTGAATGGGTTAATACCACCACCTTTCATAATGTTTTCAGAAAAGTTAAAACCATTCATAATTATATATTTATACGTTATAACAACGTAAAAGAACGTATGCCACATAAATACATTTTGAGTTGCTATGGACTGAGGAGAGATTGTATGTCCTTTTGATGTGATTACTCAGTACCCTCCTTCTAGAAAAATACCCTAATCTGAAATCTCCTCAGATCTAATGATGACGATCCGCACACAAGGTACACGCTAACTCGAGTGGCATTGTTTACGAGTTAGCATGTACTGTGAAAGTCCTTTTTGCTGTGAATTACACTCAGATACTCAAAAAGGAAGGGAGATTTTATAATAATATGCTCTAGTCCTCTCAACTTCTTACAGGTTGAAAGATAAAAAAAGAAGGCTGTACATTTTGTGTGTGTAAAACCAGTTACATACTTACATTGCTCATAGAATGATAGTGTCATCTGATGTTTATTGTATGCAGACAGATTTGGGTCATGTTAAAAAAAAATTAAAACTAGTCCTATGGTCCCATATGCAGTCTAATAAGGAATTGCTTTGGTACAACAGTATGGAATGACATCTAAAAATAGTGTTATATAGACAAATCAGTAAGATATTCCAGGTTCATTTTATGTGAACTATAAATTGTGGATAAATTCTTTGGCAGTATTTAGAGTAAAATGTTTATGTAAAATTCCCCATGAAGTGTCTAAGGATGTACGTAGACGGGTGGCTTTCACACTAATAACCATAACACTAATAACCATGCTTGATGAGAGATGACTTAGCAACCCCCGCAATAACTAGAGCAGAGATGAGGTGATCTTTCATCAAACATGGTTCCTGGTGTGAATGTTACTCTTCTATGCATCTTCAATGCAGTGCTCTGCAGACATCTCCTTTTTTTCAACTCGGCAAGTGAATGGATCAGGCATGTTGCATTTTTTTTATTGATTTAACCAGTGTCTTCCCTACTCCATAACCCCTGACTCTTTCTTAATACTGTTAAGTCTGGGTCACAGTGTGTGTTTCATCTTCTCTTCACCTGTTCTTGGTTTGACCAGTCCTTGATGGGTTTAAGGGTCTTTTTTCCTACAGAAGATACTGATTCAAATACAATCAGAGAGTCAAGTAACTTCTTCATAATTTGCTTGTCCCACTGATGTGTTTTGTACACTTCAGATGTTGGTGTCCATACTCCCCAGAAATACAAGAAGGGTTTAACTGAGTGGTAAGACCAGGGGCAATGCAATGCTTGTGAAGAAAGAGTTCTGTAGAACCAGGGCTGCTATAATCAGATTTTTCTTAGACCCCAAACCTCCACCTGGATTTTGAGACTGGGGGCAAGGTTGGGTGTGTGCCCTAATATTCTTTTATCTGTTCTAATATCATGTCCCATTCTGGCCTGCTGATTGCTGTTTTGACCTTGCAATGGAAGACTACCTACTCAAGCTTTTCAACCCCCTGCTTCCAGTTCTGACATTGCATTTAGTACTTTATCATGCCCCTGTCCTTTAAATTTTCCAGCACTAGGAGTCTCCCAGTTGCCTTTAACAGGAGTGTGATTCCCAAGGTAGACAAGAATATGGTCAGAAGCTATGGTAGAGAGATGCTGTGGAGCCCAAAGATAAAAAAATCCAACTGTGACTAAAATATCACATTAAGGTAGAATGACAATTTAATCAGAATGTTTGTTTTTCTTTACATTCTTATTTATAGAATGCTGCTGCTGAATTACTTGGGTAAAGCTGGTCGTCAAACCCCACTCCAGGGAGTGGCTGTATTCTCTGCTGGTTGGGAAGTCTTTGAATCTGCAGTCACCCTTGAAAAACCGATAAACTGGATACTCTTCAATTACTATTTAACCACGTGCCTACAAGCATCTATTATGAGGTGAGCTTTGGCTGAATAAACATGTGACCTTCTAACAATGTCAACAGTGGTTTTTATTTGTCTACTGTGGTCATGTATTGCAAATAAACTATTATTTGTGTAAAAAATGAAATTGATCTACCTACTTATAGCTCTTATTTGTGTTACCAGAGTGAGTGCATTAAAGTGGATCTCCATATAAATAGCAAAAGGATTTGTTATTCTGGCCAGCAATTTTTGTGATACACACATCTCAGTGGTCAATAAGATAACTCTGCTACTCTGTGCTATTCTAGGAGGTGATAACACTGATTTAATTGACCAATGGTGAGGCTGGAGGGGGAGAGGTGAAATAGAAAGCTGAATTGCTAAGCCAGTGAGATTGCTTAAAGTGTATGTCAGGGCAAACAAAATGGTGTCCCTAGCCTTCCACGGCCGGTGGTTGGGCTAAGTGCGAGGAGGTAATCCAGCACAGGCTCCAATAAAATGGCAAAGCACCAGCTTGAGATGGTGAAAAAGCTGTGTCCTCTCAGCTGCAATGGCGTGTCACATTGTGCACTTACGGGTATCAGGAAGTTGCTAAGTGACGCAGATTCTCCCCCTCTCTCAAGCCTGAGGAACTACAGGAGTGGGAACGATATAAATAGTCAGGCTTATTAAGGGTTCTAAAGACTGCACAATACACGTGGTGGAATAAAACTTAACCCTTAAAGAGCAGGTGCATGGGGATTTCAACTGAAACATATATTTAATATATAACTACCTAAGCACAAGTTATCCTCTCTTTTAGTTTGTTACCAGAGGACCATGTTATCAGACACCACACTGCCAGATTGGAGAAGCATGTTACCAGACATTACTAGAGGTCCAAAGCTAACAGCTGCCATGGTGGCACATAAATTATGTTGGGAGGGTTGCCAGAAATGCCACCACATGAAAACTAAAGAGATTATTCAGCTGTGGGCCCATTAACTTACAATGTTTCTCATTTACAGCACTGGTATCCATATAGTCATGTCTTCATTTTCTGGGCTATGCATTTTTCTTCTGATTTATAGTTCTAATGGCCAGTCAGAGGCCAGGCAGCCTGAAGAAATGTTTGCACTGCTGCTGATAATGAAGAAAAGAAAGCTGTCGGGTTTAAGTGTGTGAACTTTTATAAAACATTGGTAATTAACCATGGGACAGAATGGTAGTATGTATGTGGGTGGGGGGTCAGGTCTCCTGTACTGACATGCTAGATATAATACTTATTTGTAATTCTGCCCCTGATATTCAACCGTGTGGATTTTGTATTGCAGGCATCGCCATGTACTGGAAAAGCAATTTGACATTAATTACGTCATGAAGGTAATTTTATTATCTGAGCACTGATCGAAGTTGTATTTCTTAGTTTTGTGTATTATAGCTTACATCACATGAAGATACTTTACTGAACCAAGACTTCCGCACGCCTGCCTAGCAAATCCTCTCAGTGAATTCTGTACAGATCCTCTGAGTGGATTTCTCTGCAGCATGCCATGCTGTACTACAGTGCGGATAAACTGATAATAATGCGCCAGTCATTAAATGTTCTTGCAGACACACTGCTGCTCATCTCTAGTATCCTAATACCACAACTACAATGTGAATCCAGTTTTAGGCTTTACTAGGCAGCATTTCAGTAAATGCAATCTTCAAAAAATAACCATATGCTGTATATGAAGCAGCACGTGTAGTTGATCCTTCAGCATATGCAGGCTTAATCAGTAAGTAGTGCAACCAATCAGAAATAATTTATCTGCTTAGACTGCAGTAAGCTGAAATCTGGCTAAGATAATGGCTTATTAATAATGATTTAAAATAATATTATATGTAAATATAAATAAGAATACTTCTTTCTGGCAACAAGATACTATGACTGGTTTTGCTAGTTGGGTCATATTTTCAAAGGCGATGTCACACATTATGAATACAGATCTCCTTATTAAATGTCACCAACTGTTGTGCTTGGATTATGCGAGAAACTTGATTCAGCGGTAACCTTTACACTAACATTGCTAGTGTTCCTTAAGAAAAGTTCTCTCTAGTCTGGATAAATAATCACACAAGAAAACTGTCTTGATAGCAATATTCAGGCTTTTATTACTGACCTAGCTTTGACAAAACTGCCACGTTGATCCAGTTGCAGCAGTCTCTGACCCTGACCGAGGCAGAGGTTCTAAGCCTTCCCACTCTATCTAAAACGAAACAAGAAAGCTTTGGCTAGAGTAAATATGTCACAGTCCTTAGAAATTCAGAGTGATGACTGATGAAGCAATGTATAAGCAGAGGTTACCCTGAGTAAAAAAAACTTTACGTCAAAGTAGTCAGTAAATTCAGAGATATTGACAGCTAAAGGTATATGCAAAACTCAACTCTTCCTGTAAAAGTCAAGCTTGGCCCTGCCCCTTTTGCCTCAGGATATACTGATCACTCTGGTTAATGCAGTTTTTCAGCATATACTCAACTTGAATTTCCAAGATTTTTGACAGGTTCACTTTAATTGCGTCTTTATTGAGAACCAACGTCACAAGTCCTGTAGCACTCCTTACCGGAAATCCCAAAGAGGTTAAACGGGTGCTCGAAATGACAGCGGATGGCGCTGCACATAGAACAACTTTGGATGTAGACATCACCAGCACACCAGGCACGACAAAAACACATGGGTCAGTGCGATTCCATTTAATGATATGTCACTCGGAAAATCAAGCACTTTTCGGGGCCACACAGGGTCTCCTTCATCAGGCTCAGAGTGGACATGTCCACCCATGTGTTTTTGTCGTGCCTGGTGTGCTGGTGATATCAACATTCAAAGTTGTTTATTGAGAACCACTGTTTTCCAAAGCATACGCAGCCCCCCTACCCCAATATGACAATGCCCACATCTGCTTATAGATCATTTAGACCCCAGATATTGTTGGATAAGGGCAGGAATCATGCATGTTTTCCCATACTATGACTGTGACATAAATAAACATTGGGGTTGCATTAGCCAGCAGTTAAAGTGAACCTCTCATGAACATTTTTTTTTAAATTGCTGTTGGGTATAGAGGTACCTCCATATACGTGCAGCAGCATTTAAGCCTTGCCATTAAGCCTGAATGGCAAGGCTGTTCTAATGGAAAAAGTTATGGCTCACACTGGTAGTTCTGAAGCTGCCCACCCCTTCTCGCCTTCTACCCATTCCTATTGGCTAGTGAGGCAAAGCAGTCTATCATAGTAATTGCAAATATAAATGTGAGGGTGGTTGGAGGCAAGTTCCAACATTACAATTCTGAATCACAGCTGCAACTTCACTAGTACAAATTTACAACACTCCAAATCCAAAAACACACTCACCAGGCATTAAAGACCAACACAGCATGATGGGAGTTAATTTACTTTTGGGAGCATCTCTGGAGGATTATAACCTGTGAGCCTAAGGCGGAGAAGCTATACAACGTGCACTATCTTTGTGCTGGCCTCTGCTGTGCAGTTATTGAATTTCTAATGCACCTTGCAGTGTTGTTAAGTTTGACTGGCGAAGACACAGCTATGATTCAGAAATGTGCAGTTTTCAACTAAAGCACAGTGGTGACTGTGTTAGCTGCGACTTTAGAGACAACCACAACCACAAGTTGACTACACAGTGAATTTTTTTTCAAAAACAAATTACCAGCAGCTGCATTATAACTGGGTGTATCTTAAGCATTACATTTAAATACAATTTGATGGCCCACATTTTGTGTAATAGTTGTCAAATCTGGCAAAGCAAAGTTATTATTTTTTTTATTTTTGGATTACTGTGAAATCTCTCCACAGTCAATTTTTTATAGTTTTGGATAGAGTGTGGAAGAGGTAAAATCTCTGTCCAACTTTTATTGCTGTAAGTTAATGAAAATTCTTCTCCCTAGTGGTCGTATAAAAACAGTTGTCACTGCAACAGGCGTCCCCCTCGTCTTCTGTCAAATGTTGGACATTCCTTCACTTTCTGTCCCTATGACAACAGTTATCAGGCCAGAATATGAAAATAATTCCCCCCAGCAGAGACACATATAGTGATAAAAACCTGTCGGAAAATATAACGCTTCCCTACACCACTCAAAATGAGAAGAAAACATTTTTTTCTGGAGTTCCATGTTAACTAAAGTTATTCATTTAAATGTGTTTGTATCACATGCTTAAGGTAAGTAATGTTTTCCATATGTGGGTGAACATTTTGCCCATTTAGTGATGTCTGAGAATGCTAATCCTCACATTATTTCTTTCTCTGTTCTATATGCAGGCTAAGTCTATTAGAGAGTTTGATAAAAGATTTACCTCATTGATGTTTGGTTACCCGACAAATGATCACTATTACAAGGATGCCAGTCCTTGCCACAGGGTGAAATCAATTGAGATACCAGTATTGTGTCTGAATGCTGTGGATGATGTATTTTCCCCTGGTCATGGTGAGTATCCATGCATATATAGGATATGCATACTGTATATAATAAAGCCGGTATGCCTGTGCTTGTACAAAACAGGTCATGTAGAGTGAGAACTGAATAACACAGAGTAACTGTAAAAATATGTGATTTTATGGAGCTTAGAGTGGGCTGGAAGAGTGGCATATATCAGCCAATGCAATGATTGTTTTTATACCTGTTTTTCGCAGGAGAACAACCGCTAGTATACAAAAAAAAACAGCCTGATGGCCCAATGTATACTTGTATGGTTTTCTGCAGTACAGGATAACTCTAAATCACATGAAAACGGCACTACCATTTTCCACTTACTTTCTACATTAGTGTTCCTTTCCTTTTACGAGCTATGACAAGGAAAGGGTATTTGACTTGTGTATAAACGGACGGACGCCTCGCTCTTGAGTGTGGGTCGTCGTACTTGTAAGGTGATTTGTTTTCTGTGCTTGCGCGTTCACAAGCAAATCACAGTGGACCCTGTCCATTGGACATTGAAGTTCACAAAACAAGGTACAGAGCCAATGAAATCACAGCCGTTACAAAATGTAAACAATGGCTGCGGTTTGCAGCTTTCTCTCCCTTTCTGAGAGGAGAGGGAGAGATCTTAACATTGACTGCACCCTCCCCATTCACCACCATACCTGTAGCCCCCCCTCTTACTAAGGCTCATTTGATGAGTGGTAAAAGCTTTCAAAACGTCGCCTATGGTAAATTTTGGGTATTGTAGTGTATTACCATTTCACAGGCGCTTGCAATTTTAATGCTTGACATCTTTTTTTCAAATGTAGAAGAATACAATTTGGCCTAAATGTATGATGAAAGAATATTTATTTTCAATTTTTCATAATATAACGTAGGGAAAACCATTTTTTGGGGGGGGAAAGGGGTTTCAAAAGTTTCTATACTTTTTTCTTTATATAGTAAAAAATAAATACCACCAAAAGAAAGCTCTATCTGTCCCCAAAAAAGAAAGCTCTATCTGTCCCCAAAAAAAAGAATATAAAATTAATTTCCGTACAACGTTGCATGACGGAATAAAGGAATAAATGCCAGTCAAAGTACCTCAGTGCCGAATACTGAAAAATAGCCAGGCCAGGAAGGGGGTTTAACAGAAATTGAATTGCTTGTATGCTTGAGGGGGGGGGGGGGGGGGGGGGAGGGGGGGGGGGGGGGGGGGGGGGGGGGGGGGGGGGGGGGGGGGGGGGGGGGGGGGGGGGGGGGGGGGGGGGGGGGGGGGGGGGGGGGGGGGGGGGGGGGGGGGGGGGGGGGGGGGGGGGGGGG